AGTCTGATGGCTTTATTTAGAGAGTTTGTTATCCTGGGCATGTGACCGCGTGGTGTCTATGTTAAAGTGTCCATTACCTAGCTTTAAACCATCATTTTTATCAGCTAGAATTCAGCATATTGATATTGATGATTGCACTGCTCCACAGAGTGGTTTTCTTCGATACGCTTCCGAAATTATATTATGTCAGATGTGTAACAATTATAAGCGAAGAAACTGATTTTCGATAGAATATTGAATGTATTAATCCTACTTCTATAGAAAATGCTTCATAAAATCGTTAGGTGAGGAGGCATACAAAAGGAAGAAAAAGATTATATATCTTATAAAGTCATAAGGTTACATTCCATACAAATATGAGATCAAGTTCCACACACACTTAATTGATCATGTTCAATTTAAAGCTAATATAACTATGCAAAATTATAATCGAAGTTGCCACATCAACATAAACCCACAAAAACAATTCACAAAGTAATGAACCATAAAAACATTAACTCCTCACAAAATCAATTCTTAAAGTTATGTAACAGAAAAACATTAACTCACCTCACAAAAACGATTCTTAAAGTTATGTAACAGAAAAACATTAACTCACCTCACAAAATCAATTCTTAAAGTTATGTAACAGAAAAACATTAACTCACCTCACAAAATCAATTCATTTACATAAAAACATTAACTCCTCACAGAATCAATTCTTAAAGTTATGTAACAGAAAAACATTAACTCACCTAACAAAATCAATTCTTAAAGTTATGTAACAGAAAAACATTAACTCACCTCACAAAATCAATTCTTAAAGTTATGTAACAGAAAAACATTAACTCACCTCACAAAATCAATTCTTAAAGTTATGTAACAGAAAAACATTAACTCCTCACAAAAACGATTCTTAAAGTTATGTAACAGAAAAACATTAACTCACCTCACAAAATCAACAAAATCAGAAAAAATTCTTAAAGTTATGTAACAGAAAAACATTAACTCCTCACAAAAACGATTCTTAAAGTTATGTAACAGAAAAACATTAACTCCTCACAAAATCAATTCTTAAAGTTATGTAACAGAAAAACATTAACTCACCTCACAAAATCAATTCTTAAAGTTATGTAACAGAAAAACATTAACTCCTCACAAAAACGATTCTTAAAGTTATGTAACAGAAAAACATTAACTCACCTCACAAAATCAATTCTTAAAGTTATGTAACAGAAAAACATTAACTCCTCACAAAATCAATTCTTAAAGTTATGTAACAGAAAAACATTAACTCACCTCACAAAATCAATTCTCAAAGTTATGTAACAGAAAAACATTAACTCCTCACAAAAACGATTCTTAAAGTTATGTAACAGAAAAACGTTAACTCACCTCACAAAAACGACTCTTTAAGTTATGTAACAGAAAAACATTAACTCCTCACAAAAACGATTCTTAAAGTTATGTAACATAAAAACGTTAACCCACCTCACAAAAACGATTCTTTACGTCATGTAACATAAAAACATACGCTCACCTCACAAAATATTTAAGCGAAGACCCTGAACCTTTATCTACATTACAAACAGTTTTTGTGTAAAATTAATTACGTGTGAGGTATTATTGGATGGAAACCAGTACAATATCGACATGACTTTGTGATGTTATAATACAGCGCGAACAAGTACAATGTTTTTTCCCACGATGACATTGGTTTTTGTATTGCGCGAGTAAATGTAAATACAAATGGCAAGTACCATACAAAACATAGGTTGTATGATCCTAAAGCAAGTGGTAAGAAATGATAAAACAGTTTATTATCATCTATTCAAAATACAAGAGAATAAATAATAAATAAATAACACGTAATCAAGAAAATACCACCATTTAACGTAATCATAAATCAAAATCAAATTCCATAAAACTAGGGCCAAATATGAACAAAACAAGGATTTACATGGAGACTCATTAAAAAAACAAAAGAATAAGTCCGGATGTTCCGGAAGAGTAAGCGTCTACTGCTTCATCGACGTCATCCGTCGGAACAACGGAACCAACATACAGACTAACGAGCATCAAACTTGTCCAGCTTCATATCGCACAACGGAACCAACAGACAAACTAACGAGCATCAAACTTGTCCAGCTTCATATCGCACAACGCTATCAAATCGAATTTCACATCAAATGTAACATCTAAAATTTACAACAGAAATTTAACATTAGTAAAATACAGAATTATAGACTGGGATTCATACAGAAATCATAAATCTAAAATTATACAGAAACTTGATGTAAGTGCCACACCGAATTATAGAATTATAGGTATCAAAAAACGCGGATCGAAGTCCGCACGGACAATTCTTCCGATTATTCTGAGGAAGTTAAAGAGGATTACCGAAAACCTCGTGTTGGTTTCCTTGGAGGGCCTTTGAGAACTGCGACAGTTTTCGTCAGTGTATATAAAACAGCGATTACTTATCAACGACCACATTATGATAACAGCGTAGATTCATTAAAATTATCAAACTTTGTAGAAATTGGTTTTCAGTACAAATGTTTGTAAGGAACTATGTGTTAATCCATTGTTAAAGTCAATGTAAGTGTTACTGACAAATAAAACTAAATTTACTGCATAGTGACGTCATCATCCATTAATTAATCGGCATCATCTGCATCAAATTATCTATTAGTCCGTTTTTAAAAACTTCCAAGTCGTAAAAGGCTGTGACAAAACAGGAAACGTTTTCTACCTACTCATCACCGCCTACAGTAATAAGTTAATGGATGTACGGATAATGTGAGAATCAGAGGTAATTATGTATCAGTTTCACCCTCCAACGTTAATCTATGTAATAACATATTACAATATCATAACCAAAGTTTGATATGTATCATCGGAAGGAATTAATGAATAGTTCCTTTCAATTATTAACAGTTTTACTGATATCAACCTGACCACAAGGTTGATGATTTCATGTTAACAACGTATAATAAAAATTACGTACCTTTTTCAAATTGATAAGTTTAAAAGTTATTCCCCTCGCGACTCCATGGTATCACTCTTTAGAATGTCGCACAGAGTCCGTATGTCACGCCGCGCGACCCCGAGTAGTCGACTCTCACTTCCTTCCGTTAATTATTTACCTTGATCAATACGATCAAACTGTTGGTGAAATTGAAAATATGTTTTTTCTTTCGTTAATTACATATCTACTTGATCAAGTTGAGATTAAAGCATTGTTGAGAGCAGACCACACGTTCAGTGCGCTGTAATATGGCCTATGTGGACTGTATGACAATATTGCGGAGATCGATTCCAGTTACCCGCAGAACGATGGTAATCATCTACACACACAAACTCTTATGAAAGACTCAGGACATCTCTCTCCATAGGCTTGTGTCACTGATTGGACTAATTCATACACAGCTCCGGGAAAGAAGTTTTCCAAGACTACCACAGTGGCACCCGATCCGTCAATGTCTAATACTTTATATTCGCTTTCAAAAGGGACAAATTATTTTCCATCCTGATGTATACATCATATTCCATGTAAGCTTGCTGACATTTCGTTTACACCCGTAGCCACTAATAAAAATTGTGTGTAATAATGATTAAAGATGATATCGAATATATCGAACTGTGTTTACGAATGTCCGACTTGGGTAGCTTGAGCTGGTGATTTAGGCGCGAGGTCTCGGGAGACGGGCCGCTCAACATTCCTGTCACACTCCTGCCATCAGCATCACAAGCAGCCTGTGTTTATTATAAATACTGAGGCGATGTCTTCTGATCAATTTTATCAAATTGAAATGCAGTTCCGTTGAGAATTGGTAGCGAACCAGAAATTCGATCTCTATTGGTATCTGATTTTATCTATTATAGATGTTCACCGTAAATTGTAATTTGGAGAAAATGGCTTGCCAAGTTTACACTATCATTAGGTAATAGGTGTTTAAAGTCAACTAACGAAAGTCTTCAAACTCAAATCAGCAATATATCACGAGGGCTTCTAGCTATATAACTTTTGTTTTGTGAGGTCTTTAATACACACATGGATGTAGAACTGTATTTTGCAAATTTCGAAATAAACGTCGGTTGACCGAATCTCGACCACAGGTCCCTATCACGGGAACATACACATATTTTTACCAGCTGTCAAATGATAGCACTATTAAACTGAAAGCTGTTTGAGGGAGGACAGTTAGTTTTCCATCCATCCAGGTTCTTTTCATTTCACCAACTCATTCACATTAGTGTTTTACCGGACTTGTTTACATCATGGGCTAAACTCACATATTCACGGTGGTGTTTACCGGACTTGTTCACATCAAGGGCTAAACTCACATATTCACGGTGGTGTTTACCGGACTTGTTTACATCATGGGCTAAACTCACATATTCACGGTGGTGTTTTACCAGACTTGTTTACATCAAGGGCTAAACTCACATGTTCACGGTGGTGTTTTACCGGACTTGTTCACATCAAGGGCTAAACTCACATATTCACGGTGGTGTTTACCGGACTTGTTCACATCATGGCTAAACTCACATATTCACGGTGGTGTTTTACCAGACTTGTTTACATCATGGGCTAAACTCACATGTTCACGGTGGTGTTTTACCGGACTTGTTCACATCAAGGGCTAAACTCACATATTCACGGTGGTGTTTACCGGACTTGTTCACATCATGGGCTAAACTCACATATTCACGGTGGTGTTTACCGGACTTGTTCACATCAAGGGCTAAACTCACATATTCACGGTGGTGTTTACCGGACTTGTTTACATCAAGGGCTAAACTCACATATTCATGGTGGTGTTTACCGGACTTGTTCACATCAAGGGCTAAACTCACATATTCACGGTGGTGTTTACCGGACTTGTTCACATCAAGGGCTAAACTCACATATTCACGGTGGTGTTTTACCAGACTTGTTTACATCAAGGGCTAAACTCACATGTTCACGGTGGTGTTTACCGGACTTGTTCACATCATGGGCTAAACTCACATGTTCACGGTGGTGTTTTACCAGACTTGTTTACATCATGGGCTAAACTCACATATTCACGGTGGTGTTTACCGGACTTGTTCACATCATGGGCTAAACTCACATATTCACGGTGGTGTTTACCGGACTTGTTCACATCATGGGCTAAACTCACATGTTCACGGTGGTGTTTACCGGACTTGTTCACATCAAGGGCTAAACTCACATATTCACGGTGGTGTTTACCGGACTTGTTCACATCATGGGCTAAACTCACATATTCACGGTGGTGTTTACCGGACTTGTTCACATCATGGGCTAAACTCAAATATTCACGGTGGTGTTTACCGGACTTGTTCACATCATGGGCTAAACTCACATGTTCACGGTGGTGTTTACCGGACTTGTTCACATCAAGGGCTAAACTCACATATTCACGGTGGTGTTTACCGGACTTGTTCACATCATGGGCTAAACTCACATATTCACGGTAGTGTTTACCGGACTTGTTCACATCATGGGCTAAACTCACATATTCACGGTGGTGTTTACCGGACTTGTTCACATCATGGGCTAAACTCACATATTCACGGTGGTGTTTACCGGACTTGTTCACATCATGGGCTAAACTCACATATTCACGGTGGTGTTTTACCTGACTTGTTCATATTATGGGCTAAACTCACATGTTCAACCTGGTGTTTTACCTGACTTGTTCACATAATTGGCTAAACTCACATATTCACGGTAATGTTTCGTGTTCACGACCTATTCACGACATTAAAATTAATGACGTGTTAAATGCATTGTGTCTTTATTTTGACGATTTTTGATATCAAAGTAATTTTTTAATCTAAAAAAGATTCTGACATTTTCATTTAGCAGTTGAATGAACAGAACATACTCTGAAGACACATGTTGTTTTCATTTGATAATGTGTCATTTCCAGAGCAAGATTACTTGAGGGTTAGGCATGATTTACAAGGCTGGTGCAGACAATGAAGAAGAAAAAGCTTACCTTTCCGGAACATATGGTTTTATTTTCTATGTACCTCCATAGATCTCCATGTTAATCTGTCTTTTGTTCATATTTACCCTAGTTTCATCGAATTGGAGTTTGAATTCAGATTCTTTTGGAATGTAGGTATTTTCTTTGCCGTTCCTGATACACCCCGTAACATCAGCGATTTTCTTCCTTCTGTTGATCTTGGACACTACGAAAGAAAGTGAAGAGTAAAAATTTTATGGTTAATTTTGACGAGTCGACATACGACAATATCGTGATATGCAAGTGCTCACAATTATATCATAATCCTTTTAGTGTCTTTGGTTGTGAATTATTGCTTGTGATATATCGATATATGTGATGCTACACTTATCCTCCATGCCTTGTCAAAGGAACACTTTCATCCCTTACTGGAGTTTTCTTTATAATTGTAAAAAGACGTCAGTCAAAAATACATTTTAATACAAATTTAGAATTATACACAGTAGAGTCGCTATTAGCATGAATCAAAACTTGGCAAACCCCAAACACTAAAGTAACTAACAGTGTCTAACACCTTCAAAATCTTAGGTTGTACAAAACACACAATGGTGAAAAGTAAGTACTTCTTTACACAAACCTAGAACTAAATACAGTAGAACTGAACGGTGAAAAACGAGCGGTAGGGCAATTTGTTGTCAACAACACAATTTAATGGACGACCAACTGCCAGCTGACATGTATTGTTCTCATCTCGTTTCTCTCTTTTTTAGTCGAGGTTGAGGTTATTAGAGAGCTTATCAGAATAGTTACACATATCTTGTCAACCATTTTAGTTTACATTATATTAATATGTCATTAGATAGCAAGATATGTTTCAGTCGTGTCCAAAATGCATATTCTCTGGTAAAAGAAACAACGGCTTTAATCACTCAGAGCGCAACCAAAAGGGTAAGATTTCCAATTCATTGTATTTTAATCATGATTATATCAACTTCCCTGTTGTGAATTTACCATTTCGAGTGAGAAACCAACCTTCTTCCTCAACCTTTGGCTGTTTGCATTTTTCATATCAGTCTATTTGTTCTTTTAGGCGGTCTGTTCCCAATATCACAATATCTCGATCTGAGGTCAACAACTATTGAAAAGAATTTCAAAAAGTACAAAGTTTCGAAAGATAGGTCCTACAGGTTGAAACTTTTGGTCGTAAACATGATCTGGGACGTACCTAAATTTTGTATTCTTTTTAATAATTGGCTTAATTAATTCTTGGTGACATATTGAACAACATGCTCGTCTTACATATGATCAAGAATAGTATGATACAATGTCTATAAATACGATTACAAAATACATATCACAGCAAGTAGAATACAGCAACAGGGACAGGGAGATATCATTCCATATAAAAAGTTCTTTGCAGAATTGTTAAAAGCCAACAGAGAAATAGATTTTCTCACATCGTTTATTAAAAGATTCCAAGTAAGAGCTCTCTGGTAAATAAAAGAGTTCTACAAATGTTTGTTTTGTGAGATGGCAAATCAAACATGTGAACAGGATTATCTTGTACATCTACTTTGAACATCAGACAAATAATTGAAACAATTAAAACTTTGTGGAGCTAAATGATCAAGCAACTCGTACATTACAACATGTTTGATTGTATAAAAGTCGTTTTCAAAAACGCAATCAATTTAGGTGCTTAAACATATCAGAAGAAGGTGTTGAGAAATCACAGTTTAAAATAATTCTTGCACTATTGCCCCAGACAGTGGGGTAGTAATACACGTGTTGTGTAATAAAACAATTATAAACGTCATACAAGATGACTGACTTACAAATGGTCTCATTTTTTTTCATCTGAACAAAACCTGACAAGATATATTTTTAAAGATATTGGCAAATTGATGGTCCCAGGAGAGACAAGAACCTCCAGGAGATTTTCATTGTTTACATTTCCAGTATTTATATTGTCAATAACAACAGATATATCACTCTGTATCCTACATCTTCTCTGTGAAGTTGTTACAATAATTGCTTTGGGTTTTTTTTCTGTATTTATACATATTTTGTTGACTTCGCACCATTTTGATCTTGTTATCATCATTAAGGTTTTGGTTCAATGTCTGTTGATTTTCCATGGTTTTGTGCTGCAGTATCGTCTGCATACATATACATGTCACAATGGTTTGTTGCTAAGGGAATGTTATTTACATATGAAATAAACCACAGTTGCCTCAATATTGATCACTGTAGTACTCCGACAGATAAGGGGAGAGAATCACTCAAATTGTTTGGAAATTTGAAATCTCCCACTCATATAACTTTGAAAAACCTTAAGTGTTTAGGATGAGCATCCATATAATTTGAGCTTGGAGAATAAAATTGGGCGGTTCACTAGGTCGAATGCCTTTCTAAAATTTTAAAATAAAACACCTGTTAACATTTTTTTGTCCATGGAATTATACCAAGTATTAGTAATGTTAGTCATTGCTGTCAGCGACAAGTGTTTGGCTCTAAAACCAGTTTGGCTATCATAAATGAGGATATGTACATTAAAACAATCATAAAAATGGACAATGTTTTAGGACACTTTGATAAAACAGGCAGTTTTGAAATTGGCCTGTAATTACACAAAAGCTATTTTTTGTCCTTTTAAAAAGATGAAACTTTTCGGAAAGTCATCCAAGATCCGTGCTATCCATCCAACACACATTCAGTTAAACTGTTGAGGGTTTTGCTGAAGATCTCACCACATGATCAAAACTGCTTGATTTAGAAATTTGTCGCGTTACACAAAATTTCACATCAAATTCTTCAAAGATTTTCTCCAGAAACATTTATTGCCCATCGGGCAAAAGTGGCTCAGATTTAAATTGATTTCACAACTGTCTCGTCGTTAATATCTAATAAGGTAAGCGAATTGCTGATGCTGTAACAAGTGTTACAGCCTGTTGCCCAATTCCTTTTGTCTGTAAAATCATGACAATAAAATATTCTGAAAAAGTACTCTTTTCAATATCCTCACATCCCCGTAGCAAATGCTTGAAGAGTTCCAGACGTGAAAGTAGGGTAGAATCAAATACAGAGCAATAAAGAAGGCAGGATTACACCTTGTATTATATTATATTTGCATTGTGTGTTCTAGCACTAATTAACACAGCCAGTGACCTCTTCCTATTAGGAGCATATCCTTTTTATTGTAGTTTTACTGTTAATAAGTAGTGCAACATGGCTGATGGATATCTTAACCCTTGAATGGCAATTACACACGGGTTTCTCGTCTAGGGAGGATTATTGTTCATTCCAAAATCATCTTTTTAGTTTAGTGTAAATAAAAGAAATTTTATGCATGTATAGGTTTTTTTATTATTTCATTATATTATTGTCGTAAACAAACAAAAACAAAACCACAAAACAAAACAAAAAGCAAAACAAAAATGGAGGACAATTGGATTAAATATAAACGGACTATTTAGGGACCGCAGATACACAATTATTTTTTTTCTCTCCTACTTTAATGCAGCACATCTCTCTAATTTCTACCCTTGATCAAAATATTAAAGATTGATTCTGATATCAACGCAAAGTTAAACATATGTGCGAATTATTTGAGAAAGTCGAGGAATATTTATGTACACTGTCTGCCAAGATCTGGTTTCGCTTACAGCAACATGATATCAATAACTTTCTTTTTACTTAAAGACAAGACGTGATCAATAAATCTTAAAGTGAAAGTAAACGACGTTGCATGGTCCTTTTGGCTGTTTTTATAAGCTCTTCAATAAATCCAGCCTTGAAAACAAAATCAAGTCAGCCAACAGAGGAAGGCAGTTATTTCCCAAGTGTATGCCAATAGTCTGTTGGAAGATCTTACCACTCAACTCGAATAAGATGTTGTCAACCTGAAACTCGATCATATTATAATTTCGTTCTTCCTATATTTCTGTTTTTGATTTGAACGGCATTTAAATAGTCCGGATACACTCTTCAGCTACAGGACCTTATGGTTACTCTTTAAACATTGTACCTGTCTACCTTGTTCGAACTACTTTATGTTCACTTCCTCTGTATGTAATTCAGTTCAAACCGAACCTGATGATCTCGAAAAACTAACGGAGAAAATCCAGAAATAATTAATGATATGGCAGCTTGCCTGAACTGAGTCACTATATGCCAGCAACTCCACTGAAGTCGTATTTGTCCACAAGAGAACTACATTTAGTTTTAATATTATACGTATATTTTAATACAAAAACTGTCGTCTCGTCTCTTATAAGTACTTAATATCACTGTGAACAAGAATTTCTATGAAAAATGAGCTCTGTAAAATCTTAAATATATAGCTAGAAAACCCTGATATGTTTAGTGTGACTAGTTCTGTTAAATGGATATAAGATTTCATTAAACTAATGGATGCCATGGACAACTTCGCTTTCGCTTAAAATGAGGCCACACAACAGTCGACTGCCACTTTGGGACTCGTCCTCCTCAAGGATAAAAAAACGCAAAAGAAAATTTTAAAGTAACTTTCCTACCCTTCTTAATATCAATATCGAGCTGAGCATTCAGTAATGCACGTGATGGAATCCTGTATCATCTTGACTTTTTTCTGCTTTCAAAAACAGCCAGGCTTTTCCCACCTTAGTATGCATAAGATTATGCTACAG